GGCCATTTCACTTCACTTGTTTTATCAGCCTTATGTTCTTGCTTTATTTCTTCTTTAATTTTGACAAAATATTTTGGACAAGCACTTTGGGTCTCAGACAACCAAGAAGTTAATTCAGATAGTTGTCAGACTGACAAGTAAATGATGAAGTCTACATTTTTCTTCTACATGTAAACTCTGCCTTCAACAACAAGTCTATAATAATTATTATACAGTACAGCGGAACCCTGTTAATACAGTCACCAACAGGCCACAAAAATCTGGTCACATTAACGGGGTGGCCGTATTAAAGGGGTCCTTGAAATAAGAAAATGACTGACTGAGCTTTTGTTTGGGCCAGAAAAAATTGCCCGTAATAACGAGGTGGCTGTATTAACAGGGTGGCTGTTAAAGGCAGGGTTCCACTGTGCTTCCTTTTAACAGGAAAGGAAAGAAAACCACAAAAACTTGACGGGGAAAACAATTCTTTTCCAAACTGCCTCTAGCTTAGAACTGATTGAATTAGCCATTTATTATAAACATTATTCATTCAGTATCATTTGTTTCCAAGCATAGCCTGCAAAGTGCTGCAATNCAAGCACTTTGGGTCTCAGACAACCAAGAAGTTAATTCAGATAGTTGTCAGACTGACAAGTAAATGATAAGGTCTACATTTTTATTCTACATGTTAACTCTGCCTTGAACAGCAAGTCTACAATTATTATGCAGTACAGTGGAACCCCATGAATACGGTCATCAACAGGCCACAAAAATCTGGCCGTATTGATGGGGTGGCCATATTGAAGGGTTCCTTCAAATAAGAAAATGATTGACTGAGCTTTTCTTCCGGCCAGAATAAAGTGCCGTAATAATGAGATGACCGTATTAACGGGGTGGCTGTAAGGCGGAGTTCCACTATACTTCCCTTTAACAGGAAAGTAAAGAAAACCACAAAAACTTGACCGGGAAAAAAATTCTCTTTTAAAGTGCCTCTAGCTTAAAACTGATTGATTGAACTATCTATTATCAATATTATTTAATAATATTCAGTATCATGTGTTTCCAAACATAGCCTGCAAAGTGCTACAATTTGCTCGCATACTAGTGCATAACAGGCCAACATGTCATAAAGTCTTTTAGGAGTCAGTGATTTTTCTCTAAAACAGGATGATTTACATTAATTTAATCTTATTTTTTAACTTCTAATTTTCTTTTCTTCAAGTTGCTGAAAACAATGTATTTGATGTAAGACATGTGAACTGTAAAATGTTGCATTGTAAAAAAAAAAATTAATTTACTTTATGTTACAAACTGCTTTGTTTCTGCAAGTTGTTTTTTAGGTCACCTAGTTGAACACTCATCTTACCATTCCTTTGTGTGATTGGTGGATCCAGGTCCTTCAGTTTTCTCATGGCTTGTAATGGAGGCTCACTGAAATAAGGTGGCTCTCCATCAATCATCTCGAGAATCATGATCCCTAGGGACCAGATATCAGCCTGTCATGGAGGACACACCAAAAAGAAAGTTTAAACATACTGCAAGGAAATAATTATTAGCAATTAAACATGTAAATTACAGATAGAAACAATCTACACTTCTGCTTAATAATTAGATTGCAAGCTTGAGTTGTTCCACAAGGTAGTACTGTAAGTCGGGAGAACTTCATGATCAAGATGACTATACTACTCCA